GTAGGAGGCGTTATTTCCACAAATGTTCAACTTGTTTACCTTAAATGGTGGGAATCTATCCAGAAATGTGTGGAATTACTAAGAAATAAGGAGTAAACTCAATGTAAACTCTTGAATAAGTCCTCCTCTTAGTAACCTCTGGCTGCAAGGAATAGTCCAGATGTTTGAATGTTTAGTGTTTTATGAAGCAACTAACTGTATTAACCCCTTTATTACCCTATGTCTTAATGAAAAAAATTAAATCATCAGAACAGCGAAGTGCTAAGGCCCAGATTAAACACATTTTAATGGAAATTCAATGAAAAATTCTCAAATGTGGGATTCATACTTCAATTATACTAGTGAATTTTAGCATGATAACATGGAAATTGTTTCATGGACAAAACACAGGCAAATGTAACGGTTACTCATAAAAATGTCAATGTTAAAATATACACATTTGCACCTAAAGTCTGTCGTCTGCCACTGTGTACTACCTATGAGATGCTTATGTTTCAAAAACACACCAGCCTATTTCAGAAGCTTATCTCTTTACTCACAAACATACATATTAAGAACATGTAAGAAAGTGTAAGGGTCAGAAAGATTAGGATTGTCAGGGTAGTAAAAGATAAGGTTCTCTTTGAAAAAGTAGTCTTGAAGGTAGAGAGATGAGCCCCTTCTCTGATAGCATTTGGTAGCTCCCTTTCACATTAAGGTATAACAAACAAGGAGAACATGAGCAGAGATTGACTGCAATGATAGAATTTCAGTGCCAGATAGCATTCCTGAGAGAAGCACAGGGATTAAGATAAGACTGTATGTCTGCATGTAAAGAACTATGTTCAGATAGAGAAATCATTTGTATCCAAGAATGTTCCAATTGAATTGGAACACAGTTTAGGGGGCCATGGGGTGTTAAAGATAATCAGTGTTATTGCAGCATCCTTGAGCCCCAGGATATGAACAATTGAAGTGCTGGTTTGCACTAAGTGTTTTGGAAAACTTTATGAACCAGCAGCACACAGGATGAAAAGAGTTTAAATTTCTAAAAGTAGATTCATTTTTTTGGGTAATGAGCAGAAAGCATTTATAAATTGGAAAGTTTATGCCAAAATCCATGATTTTTTTTTTCCTTGTGAAAAAAACTGTGATTGATTAACTCAGATATATTTTCAGAAGAATTCAGCCAACTTAACTCTGCTTTATGTTGGGACAGTCAAAACTTTATCAAGCAGACCAATGAAACAACTTTTGTATTTCAAGTATAAAGCATTTGTATAAAGTATAAAGTTTGCTAAGCAGTTGTGACATTAGCCAGGTTGAAATGCATGTGTATTATGATAGCTTAACAAGATTGTTGCATTTTCCTTCAACACGTAATTAACAGCGGATGTCAGCCTTTTCGGAGCTATGACAGGTGCAGCCAGCACAGTCAGGCAGCTGAAAAAATCTCTTTAACTCAAAAGAGTTATGATTCTGAGACAGGGGCATTATTCTTGCTGCAGCTCTCATCTGCAACACCTTAACGACTCTAATGATGATGAATGAGGGCTCCCCGCCTGTAGATTCCTTTAAAAAATGTTTGCTTTTGCTAATCTCATTTAATGGATCAACAACACCTGCTGCACCTAAATCATTTCAACCTGCAAATCAGCAGGAGGGAGCTTACTGAAGGTTTTACTGCCAGTGGTTGGAGCAACGCTAATATAGCTCCATCACCTTGATGAATCTTCATCTTTCTGTTTTAGCTAATCTACACTTAAGGATGATGATTGCACGTCGTTTTTACATAAGTCAAGTGATGTCTTAATTTATAATTGATTTTATGAGCAGAGACTGATGGATCATGTCTCAGATATAAAAGAAGTAAGAGTTAAAGACGAGCAGCTGGAGAGAAAAACTATTTTGGGGTATTTGGAAAAGTACATTATCTCTGGTCTTGTATCTTATAAAAGCAATTTTCTTTAACAGGAGAATGCCAAAATACACCAAGCATAGCATTTTTCTTTTCCTGCTTAATATGAATTTATGGCTGTCTCTGTGTTTTGAGGCCTATCTAGCTAAAACTTTCTTCGTTTGTAGACTTGGATTGATTTGTCACATGTTGCCGACTTTGACCTTAAAGGCTTTTTGGGATCTCCAGTCTCTAAAGAATATCCTGTTATCTGAAGGAAAAATCTCAAAATCTGGATCTTTTAAAATCTTCCAAGACTTCCCTAAGCCAACCTAAACTTTCCTTTTTTTTTTCCTCTTTCAGGCATCAGACAACTCCTCAGATCTTGTAAGTCCTTTAGAAGTAGAGATAATATCAGAATCTTCATGTCAAAGGTTTAGATAGGACAGGGTCTACCTGTCTTTCTGTATAAAGCTTTAAGTATTGCACCTAATCTGTTTTCGGGAGGGTCCAAGCAAATAAAATTTCTAATTGTTAAACAAATCTGTGACAAAAGCTTCTCTTTACAATAGTTTTGTTGTAATTGAGCACAATTGATGTTGGTATCCCAAACACAATCCAGCCGTGGCGCTCTGCATATTGTGAGTTATGCATGATAGCAAAAGCCAAATTTACAAAAACAAAAAACAAAACAAACAAAAGAACAAATCCAAATACTCCAAAGCTTTGCTTCATTGGGGACACAAGACAACTCCTTCCTATTTCTGACCTCTGATCATTATAACTCCTATGGAAGAAAGAAAACCTGGATGAAGCCCAGCAATGTGATTGTAACAAAGAAAGATGTGCATTAAGTACTGTCCATTTTTTGGTCCTTAACCCCCATCATATTGACTGCACAGGCTGTTTGCAATCGGGAAATCACACTACAATAGTTAACGCAGAAGCTGCAACTACTTTATGTGGCGACTCAGGGGTAGTTTAGAGGCCGGCTGAATTCAGTCTTGGTCCCCACCTTGGTTTTTTAGCAAGAAACACGGAGGCCTTGATCAAAATAGTGCCTTGATCCTGCTTGGAGTTTTTTGTGTAAGGAGTAAATAGAATATTTTAACATTATGCTCAAAGTGGGGAATTTGTTTCAATTTAAGTTATATTTATTCTAAATGGTTAAAATTAAAAGCTTATTAAAAGATCAGACTTCTTTTAGGGGACTGAGTCGGAAAATGTCATTAGAGCTACATCTCTATTCTACAGACGGTGAAGTAAATATCACTTTGCTATTGTTTCTTTATTAAAGGTCCTTTACTCCTCCCCTTCAAATATTCTCCAGAAAATCTTGGGGAACATCCAGATGTTAATAGGCAAATATGATCTTGGAATTTGTGGGGGGGTTTTTTTTTTCATCTTGGATTTCTCTCATGAAAGAATTTTGCAATTCATAAGCGAAATATTGTTCTTGAATCATAACATAATTAACAAAGGCATGATGGGTGATTTGAATGCCGCTCTACATTATTTTGGGCCCTTTTAGATGATTTGTTAATTCCACATTTGGATTTTGGTATGTCGGCCACTTCTGGAAGGTTCTTCACTCTTCCTTGTTTTCACCTTTTTTTTTTTGGATAATGACTCTCATTGTTGTTCGCTGATACCCTAAAGCCATAGAAATTATAATACTGACACATTACAGGATAAATTGCTTTAGATTTTTTTCCCTAGTTCATCTTGTCAAACATATTTGACAAGATCACATAGAAGTTCTGTATTTTAGTAATATTTTGATTCTACAGATGTTATGGTAGCGAGGCCTGAGTGTAGCTAGTAATTAGCTCATCTCTTCAAAGACTGTCGTCAATGACATTTAAGATGAATATTTTTTTCTTACAGTACTTAGCATCAGCATGATTTGGATAGATTTGTTCCCCTTTTAAAATGAAATCACTGCTTTTAATCTTTTCCAGCTGTGGATCAGATCTAAAGCAGCAGCAGCACCAGCAAATTTATTTATATCAACTAATTACGCAGTTTGTTACACAGTTCAGGTGCTTTGTAAATCTAACTTGTTCATTTTATAATCTTACTTAATCTTGTTTCTGTTATTTTTTTCAATTAAAATAATAAACTTTTTTGGAACACACATTGCCAGTGAGACTCATTGAATTTTCCCATATTTGACATTTTGCATTTTATTTTGAGATTTAGGAGCAAATAATGATGAGTGGTTAAAACAGAGGGGCTGTGTAAATATTTGCTTCAGGCACCTTCAATAAAAGAAGACCATAAAGAGGAATAATTACTACACTTTTGCATTTAGAACCAAGGAAACCTGTTTTACAATGGTGGGTCTGAGTTTTAACACAGTGGAGTGTGGGCCTTCAGGGAAAAGTCCCTGCCAATGAATTTCATCTCTGGCAGGTGAAAAGAATTGGCCGCTGAATTCATGCCATAGGTGGAGTGCTGGAAGACCTCAGCTTTTAAAAATTGTAGGAAAAAACAAACAAACTGTAAATTCAGGAGTGAAGTTTAATTGTTAGAGACTCAGACCTTAATTACAAAGCAATATGAGACCTTTTTGAGCTATAGATTATAGGCAAACAGGGTTTCGCACAGCTTTTATTGGGCAGTGTGCAGTCAGGAATTCAATGAAAAGAAGAGGCAGGACAATAATAACAGCAGGAACACACACACTGCTTTTCTCCTGATTGAAACCAGCTGCCAGTCATCTAGAGTCATAACCTGAAACTGTGATCCATAGCTCACAAATTACAACACAAGAACTCCTCAACTACGTCAGCCTAGATCTGTTTCATGACAGAAACAGACATGCATGTAACCCAAGTGCAGCAGCAGAAGCAAAGTGACACATTTCCATGAAAATATTTTTCTTTGCCGTTTTGCTTCTAGGTGTTAAATGATCCATGACAAGGCAAAACTCCACTGTATGTTTTAAGTGACACATTTTCAGTTGAGTTGGTAATTTACCCATTGATGTATATATCACCTGTTATATAGAGCATAATTTGTGACTTTTATAACATTTAGATATCTGTGCAGAGGGCATGCTGTGTGCATGCTTAGGTAGTTCATTTAGCATTCATTGAGAATAGCAGTATTCATCCCTTACCTTCTGCAGCCATAGTGTGTTGTTCTCCATTATGCTTTCTAGGTGCTGAAGTTTCTGCGCTGACCACTCGCCGTCCACTGGTGGTGAGTCCCTCTGCACAACGCTCGCCCCTCCACGAAAGCTCCCATAATGTTCGGCCTGGGATGTGGACCCTCCACTCTGACATCCGTCCAGTTCCGGAAGGACGAAGGTGTAACTGCACTGACCATGCTGGATGCGATGAAACCTCTTCCTCTTCTCTGCGCCTCCTCCTTTTCTCTGGCTTCTTCCAGCTCCTGCTCGCTCTGTGCCTCCAACTCCTGCTCCATCACTGACTGTGGACCAAGTCCAAAGCAGCAGCAGCACCAGCAACCACCGGCTGAGATCCAGGCCTTTCATCACAGCACCTTCTGTGTTTTAAAGTGTTCTCCTTTTAACAAGGGAAGGTTGTTAACACTTTGACCCCAATTCAGCCTAAAAGGAACTTTGCACAAACCTCTGCATGCAAAAGTGAATCCATGAGGTCAGATGTTCCTGCTTGTTCAGTATGCTAATTTCTAAATGTCTCTTCAATTGTTGGATGCAAAGAACTAAAAGTTAGGAAACCTGGTTTTACGGTGAATTGTTCACTTTTCCGCTCCAAATTGGGGTAAAGATGCCCACCTCTCTTCACTTTCCCAAGAAGGATCTTCCTTTGATTTCTTTTGGTCAGTTTTCTCTCAGATGAATGAATCCATCTGCAAGATGTTAGACAGGTTCCTGACAGCTTGCTGATATTTTATCCTTTCCTCATAAATGCAAAAGGTGAATAAGCAGATCTAAACAAGAAAAAATGCAGGTATAAAGGTTTAAAAATAAGAAATCAATTCTGAGAAAACAATTATGTTTAAAATACAATGTCTACAAAAACAATTTCTTTTGAATATATTTAGAAAAAAATCACAAATCAAGCAAAATCTAATAAATGGAAATTTGGATTTTACTCCCTCCACCCTTCTCTGGTGGCTTCAGCTTCAGAAGTGACTAGAGAGAATTACTTCTGCCCCCTTCTTATCTGGGAATGGCTGAAAAAAGGGGGAAGGAATGAGAGTCAGAGAGAGAGAGAGAGAGAGAGAGAGAGAGAGGAGGGGGGTAAGGGGAGGAGAGCAAAAGGGAGGAGTGAATCGATGGGGGACTTGAGGGAGGTCTATTAGAGTGCCCTCATATTTGCAAACTGAGAGGAAAGGAAGAAGAAATGGGAAGGAGCCCAGAAAAAGAGGCAGATTAAACAACTGAGCAAAAGGACAGAGAGAAAGTAAAGAGAAAGGCAGGCAGATAAGACAAAGAGAGGGCAGAATTAGAGCCGTAACTGTTGACACACAGAGGAAAGGCAGAGACATTGATAAGAGAAAGAGATCTAAAAGAGGTTCTGTAGTTGCTTTAATCTTCCTCCTGACTGATCTTTGACATCTGAAGTAAATGCCAAGGCCTAGTATGGACATCCACACTGGTTCAAAGCTGGAGCTTTATGGCCTCAACACAGCCAAGGTCTGCAGCATCAGGGGGTATCATCAGCTATGACTAAGCATAGTCCTCAAGTTCAGGTGAAAAAAAATAAACTGGCTGAGTCTCTGTCGCAGGATGCATCTCCTCACTGCTTCTCATCTGTCCAGCTGTGCTCCCCCCCCTGCATGGAAATACATACAAAGATTAGTTCCAGATAGATGGCTCACTCCCAGCTTTATGAAACTCAAGCTCTACATGTGGAGAGACAATGCGAGTTGACAGAGTTTATTTGTACGATGATAATGTGTTCCACAGAAATTAAATGACACAAATACAGGGGGAAAAAATCTGATAGAGGCCATGAGAGAAGAGATACACTCGCAGATTTCACAAGGAGATAAAATCCAAAAAATGTGCCATTAGTGACATTTTGAATTAAAGTAATCATAAGAAAAAACTGACCATTTCTGTAAAGAAGATTCTTTCACTGCCCTCTCATCTACTGGTCACAGAGGAGTCAAAGATGAAAAGCTGCTCTGATCCGCTCCTCTGATTTATTTTGACAAAATGCTGTTTTATTTTCATTCCAGCCTGACCTCTGTCTATTACTGCTCCTGCATACATCTTCATTTTTGCTGAACTGGCTTGCTCTCTTAATGGTAGTCAATTGGTCCTCTGGGAGCAACAGAGAGGTTATGCAGTGGATGGCTTCTGCCCCAAACAGACATCATTCTCATGGGAACGAATTGGACAGGGAGCCCACTGTGCTCAGCCTCTTTGCTGTTTATAGATATATATACATAAACCTGACCATAGCTGATGCATTATGTGACTGTAAAGCAGGTGACTTTTAGGCAGGATCATTTTGATTTATCAACCAAGTTAAGCTTCATCTACAAAAGCCTGGTTTTCAGATTAGTAAAGTTAAGTAAATCCTCAGGTTTAGGATGAAGTAGCTGCAGGCAGGTGCTTGATCTGAAGAACATTAGTTATGCCCTCTAATGAGGTCTCAAAAAAGCATGCATACTCACACCCACTCACAGAGATCATGATGTTTTAGAGTGTTTTATATGACCTCTACCACGATTGGTAGAGACCAGCATCCCTGCCACTATGGTGTGATATCCAATGACATTTAAGATTGACAAGCTCAGAGACGCTCTCTCTCTCCATCCCTCAGTGTTGGTGGTCTCTGTGCTCTAGTCGGTTTTATTTCAGGAGTAACAATCAGTCATGAACCAGCCCTTTCACCTCTTTTCTGTGGGAAACGGACAGAATGATGAGGATTTGTTTTTTAATCCTGGATTTAATTTCAACTATGGGTCTATTTGTGCATCTAGATTATTTTTCCTCTTTTGTCAATGGGCAGAAATATATCTTGCCAAGGGTTGGCAATTTTGATATCTTGTCTTGAGAATAAATGATTTATTTTCTGAGTGAGTTTTTTGGTGATGTGTGTAATAAATTAAAGGAGCCAAAATCCTTTGATTATTTTAAAATATCCATTCTGAGAAAATATTCTGACTAAATAATTTTGAAAAAGATGAGCAGGATTTCATCATTGCTGAGTGGGTGTTTTGTTTGATGTACCGAGTCTTCATTGTTTACTTTTTCCTGAATGTCAAAGGATAATTTGCAAGAGTATCTGTCTGCAATTTAAATAACACCTAAAGTATTAGTACAGAATGTGCCAATATAACCGAGGGACTGCAAGATAAGCCTGAGAACAAAAAATTAGGCACAAAAAACTGGCCGTATTCTAAGGAGGTTTAGTAAAAAGCTCATTGGAACAAACAGGAGAACAGAAGAGGAGTTCTTGTCTCAAGGTATCAGATGGAAAGACTCAAAGGGGAAAAAAAGACATGGGGGTAAAACATAGCTCACTTTGAATACAGTCTGTAGAATCCATCATATCCTCAAAGAAGAAAAGGATGACATTTGAGATGTTGCACACTCCATGTTAATACTGAACATTTTTCATTTTTGACAAACTTGAAATATAACTCTCCGAATGTAGACATGATATGGTGCAGAGCCACACTCACACATCAGGTATATGGAGTATCAGTCTATTTCTGAGCATTCTGAGCAGCAGCTTTGTAAAAGATTTTGATTATTCAAAAATGTCACTCTGAGATTAAAACAGGCATATCAAATTTCTTAGTTTTGATCAAAATATAATTACTGATTTGGGTATGACTAATGATTTATATTGGAAAATATAATAAGAAAATGCATTTCTAACTCCCCAACAACATCACTTTATCACATATGTTGGTTTGTTGTTATCTGCTGGGTCAAATCTTTTTCTGTATTTTCACAGCATTCAATTGACTCAAGGTAAAAAAAATAGGCACGCATTTTTTAACAATAAAAATGCTCATAGACTAAGAATTCAGATGGTAGCATGAGAAAGGATAAGGTATTACTTTTCACCATCATCGAAAATCACTTCTGACTGTTGAACTGAAGTAATATATTACAGTAAAATTTGTCTTTACCACTATATGATACAGATGGAAAAATAAATCAAAAATTAATAAAATACTCCTATTTATCAAACACAGGGGAAAAAATGAAAGAAAAGATTCAATAGTGCCAATGTATCACAGCATGAAACTAAAGAAAGCCAGTCTCTATAAATGAGTATTTAGCAACTTCTTTAAAGGTATAGTGGAGGATTTTCGTGAATTGAAAAAAGCCTGCCCCCCTCCGAAATGCACATGCACAACCCTGTACCCACTCCCGTGGGGGAATGCCTATTAAACATGTGCGAGAGCATGCAAGAGCCCATTTCTCATGGTGCACGCTCTGTTTAAAAGTTGCTGCTAGCATCGCTCGTAAAAGCTTACTTTCCAAAAGAAGATTTGCAATTTTCTACTATGTCAGACTCACCACCGGTAAGTGAAAATGGGGATGAGCACGTCGAACGGCCTACGTAAACATATCACCAGAATGATTGACATTTAGGAGGACCACTTATTTTGATGATCCACCCACAAAAAGGACATCCTCCACTATACCTTTAAAAAGTCAAAAGAATTGCAATTTTTTACACCAAAAATGAAATTTATAGAATAATTTTGTTAAAAGCAAACAACAAGAATTTTCAATTAATCTACTGTCCTTCAATTGTTTTTCCTGTAGTCTTTCAGTCGTACCAACCAGAGTTCACCTGCAAGTAGTTGTCACATAGCCACTGTTTGATACTGCTAAAAAAAAAGACGGTCAGTAGGAACAACTTTAGATACCCAACTCTCTTAAGAGAACATCAGTGCAGAATAATATCAGCATAAAAATTAAAAGGCATAGAAAACAAACTAATAATTCTCCAATGCAAACAGCTACTTTGACTTATTCTCAATATATATATATATATATATATAACCTCCCCAGTGTTAAAATATTGTCTTGGGGCCAAGCTGCTCATTAAATATTAATAATTTTTGCTGAATTAAAATCTTTAAATCTAAGACAAACTGGCACCAAATTGTTAATGATAATATCAGGAGTAGGCAGGCTAAAACAAAATATTCATTCTATAATGTTGAAACATTGCTGACTTCAAATTGTGGTGAAAAAAGATGGCTGGTATGAAATATAAATAAAAGTTAAATGTGCATGCATACTGTGGAATCCAAAATGTCAAAGCGGTAAAGCAATTTGTCTGTGGTTTCCCCCAACAAAATAACAAAAGCTGTGAATGTTGACCTGATTTCCCAACAACGTAAATAAAAATGTCCAAATGCAAAACGACATGTCCACTGCAGGAAAGCAAACTTACCTTCTATAAGGCTGTTGAAGTTCAGTCAAACTTTTTGCTCATTTTTCCTGTAGCATTGTGATAATCCTGCAATGCAATTTTGCCACCTTCGCAGTTTACATCCCTTTAAACCATCTTTCTTCGACTGTTACATAAGTGAGATGGCGTGACCACATAGTATGCAGCCAAAGTCTCAAACTTGCACAAAACAAAACCTCCTGATGGCTTAGGTTGTTTGGGCAATGCTAAAACATGGCAGCCAGCATAAAAGGAACAGAGGACACTGCCAACTATCAACCAGGCACCTTCATTTGAAACCCCACTAAAAATAACCCACTTAGTAACCACTGAGTTCCCAAACACAGTCATTGTGCTGAATGCTTGCACATATCTACAGATCATTCATGCATAGAAAAAAAAGCAAACATGCTTGGAGTCTATCCCAACATTATACATAGAAGTTGTGGTCATAGAAGTTCTGATCCTACAGGGAATCTTCATCATTATGCAGTGTGGGTCGAGTATAGTAAACACTACATGTAAACCCAGTCTCCGTCAGTCACTTTCAGCAATAAGAACACAGAATAAAACCTGAAACGGATGGTTTGGCAGCTCTTTGATGGATGAGGGCGTGACCCTCCTTACACTTTTTAATACTCAGCACCTGCAAAAACACTCGATTGGATGTAACCTGAGATGATTTTACATAAACAAAGTGAATGAATGAATGAAGAGATGACAGGATTAATGGGCATTTTCTGCCTTTTGGACCAAATTCCTTTGCAAGATTAAACACAACCTTTTAAAAAGCAGATAGTTTTTGATATCTTTAGGATAAACACTGTCAGATTTAAAATGTAGTTTTCATTGCATCATTTTGTTTTACTTCCGGCACTTTTGTATTTTTGTTTTTATTCCATATTGCATAGTAATGAGGTAATTGCGTGATTACTATACATTTTAAACATAAAACAAAATAAAACTGAATGCTGACTCCTGTGGTTTATAATATTTCGTTATTGAAAACTATACAGCTTTTTGAATATGCTCTGGATACAGTAAATTCGGCTCATCTCCAATGCATTTTCTCACTTAGTCCAAAAGCTTTGTTTTAGGTTAATTGGCCTCTCTAAAATGTCCCTATTTGTGGGTATGTGTGCATAAGCATTTGCCTTGTTTGTCTTTGCTTTGGACTTCTGATAGGCTGATGATCTGACCGGGTTGTAACCCGAGTCGCTCCCCTAATGAATGTTTGGACCCGATACAGACCTCAGCACCCTGAAACAGGATAAAAAAGGAGTTTGCCATGCCACTTCTGATCCACTTCTGGCCACTACAGTTGTTTCACATATTGACTTTCTAATCCTTTCTTTTGACTTCAAAAGGAGGCCGGTGAAAATTCACATGGCAAAGGGATTACAGAACCTGCAAGGTCCAGAAAATTAAGGAACCCATCTAAAACCTTCATTAGTTATCTAAAAATAATAATAATAATGATATAGTATTCCTCTTTTTATTTGCATGTAAGTGGAATACCTTTGCAGCTACAGAAACATCACTGCTTCAGAAATATTGAACTCTATTCTTAAAACAAAACAGCTGTATCCTGGACAAATGCGGCAGATTTTCTCCTCTGGTATTGTTGCCTGGAAACCTTCTTTAATCTAACATAACTTTATGCTTTACTAGTTGGTGGTGTGTCACTGTTATATGCAATGTGTTTTAGTTTCACAACATTGTAGATCTGTCATCTCTCTGGCTAATTTCTCCCAAAGGCGCCGCATAGCATTTTATCTCTTCCTTCTGGCAACTCATTTATATAAAACTGGAATTTAAATGTTGCAGATGTGCTGTTTTTACAACAAGAAAGCTGTAAAAACAGAATGATTCAAGATCTTCATTTTTATTGGAAAACATATAATACCCTGGAGGGTGATATATTTTCTAATCTTCTAACCCTTGTTTTTTAACCGTAGGATATTATTTGAAGTCCCTATAATGTAAAAACAGGTATGCTTTTGGGTTGTTTGGGAAATCCAATAAAAAATGCTAAATCTTTCAAAGTGCAGTCTATTACAACTTCCACAATGATGTCATGGTTAAAATAATAGAATATCTATGGAAGAGATTGGAGAAATTGGAGGTTCCTTGGAGCATTTTTAGAATATATAAAAATAATTATATTTCTCGAACTGTCGAAAAAGATCTGCAAGGATGAGCAAAGCAGGGAGCGGTTTTACTAAACTCATTAGCAAAGAATTTTTCTGACATTTTAATTGATGATTAATGGGCGTGTAGTCTTAATATTTTGTGTTCTATTCTGTTGTCATAGTTTTAATTTTTTTAGGTTTAGAAACATTACTGAAGATATACAAGATATTAAACAATTACTCTTCTTGAAATGTCTGAAGTTCAGAGAAAGGAAAGCTTATATGAGGGCATGAAAATTGCAGGTATATGTTTGTTAGACTCAAATCAAAGCAATCTTAAGTGTTATTATATAATTAAGGTATATATAGTTTTAAAGTTATTTAATCCTCTAATAGGATCATAGTCATTTACAGAATAAGGTAAAAAGGAGAGACAAGCGAGGTTAACATTATTAGATAACTAAACTTTTAAAATATTTTATTAATATCCCTTAATCTTGTATAAAGATATTGCATATTCTGTGTACCTGTTTATGCAACCTTCACAATCAAACTCCTGCTGGTACTGCTATCCTACTGCCTCCGCAGAAATTAACCACTGGGGGTCAGCATTTCAGCATAAAGAGTGTTCAAAGATAACAATTTTATACCTTTATCTACATATTAGGAAGAACATTTTAGTTATCCCTTTCATGTTAATTTTCACGAGTTTTTTTTTTTTTTTTTTTTTTGCAGATCCTGAGGGTACACAATTCTTGTGGCCTTTAACAGCTCCCATAACATAAAAACAACTGGTTTTTTTTTCTTTTCAAATACTACTTTATTATATCATTGATATGAGTTGGAACTTCTTTTTAGAAATCCTTGGTTTTCTATTAAATGGAGAAGCAAAAACAATAACACAAAGATTCATTTATCTAAGTCAGTCTATGCCTCAATGCTGGACAAGGATCCATGTTTATCTTGTAACCATGCAACAGTAAGCAGGACGTTGGAGAAGTGACAAAAATCTCCCTCCTTCCCACTATTAAGGACTGCAGCAACAACTGGTATATTGGGGGGGGGTCACCATGTTTCCATAGCAACTATTGGATGCAACTCTTTGAATCTGACATGGCAATGGGTTGCTTGAAGGAGATGCCTGAAAAAAGCTTTTTTCTTTCCTTACCAATACATGGTGATTCCTGAGCTTTTTTAAGAAAGTTTTTTTCCTCTCCACTGTTAATGCATGAATGACCGGTATGAGACATTGCTGAAGTGAACACAATGTGGGCAAATTTCTGCTGTCACCACATCCTCATCTAGGAGGAGAAAATCCTGCAAGGTCAAAACATAATGGAATCAGCCGGATCTCCTTAGATAGAATTGAGGAATTTTCTCTACAAAGTGCCTTGAGATAATATGTTGGAAATTGTCACTATATGAATAAAACCTAATTTAAAACCTAAAATGAATTTGTTAGAAAAGGATACATAGGATGAAAATAAAAGGAAAATTATCTCAGTGTCAATGTCTGTTCACAAAAATTCATGTAAAACTCCAATTTGTCTCAAAACATTTTCGGGACCTAAAAGAAAATACTTTTTTTTTTTTACACCACACAAAAAAGTTACAGAGCTCATATTTTACGTAGATGTACATGTTCTTTGTGTTTATTCCCTGAAATAAATAAAATATATGAGAAAATAAGAGAGGAATGCTTTCAACAAGGGAGTTAAAGCTTGAAATTGCGTTAAGAATGGAAATCCACATCTGTTTTGAGAAAAGGCTTAGCTGTTTAAAGATTCCAAACGCTTGCCATAAATGTAAGATTTCCCACCGTTGGAGATTATTGTGTTTATACTATATTATCAGCTTCATTCTGACTGTATTGCCAAAGTCTTCCAAAACAGATAACAGCAACTAAAAATGACCTTAAGTGGCATTTATGAAATAAAACATGCCTTAATTGATGGTCAGTTATTTATTTATAAATAGTTACCAAATCCTGAAACAGTTTGATATCTCCTGGGTTTTGTTGGGAACCAATTAGTGACCAGACATAGATTTGGGGGTGGGGTGCATGAGTGTTTGACAGGTAGAGAGCAGAGTTTGTCGGAGGTCATCCTGCAGCCTTGGGTTACTGACAGGCTTTTAAATCCCTGAGTAAACACACTACAGCTCCCCTAACTCCAGGCAGCATTAGCCCTCATCATTCAAAGCTCACTACACACACCCTGACACTTCAGGGGAATATTATTTGATACATGTGCAGTAGTTAAACGTTGGCACTTGAACCTTTGTTTATTAAGGAAAGGAAAAAGTGTTTGAGCTAATTTAATTGATTGAATGGATTTTGCTATCCACTACCATCAATTCTTAGAATTACTGAAATTAAACAGAGTCCTCTTTGTCAATATGAAGAAGAAATATCTTTTTTCCTTTGGTTAACAAATCCTTACCTATTTTCCATCATTTCATGTCTTATGTACTTTTTGGGAATCACAGTGTCTTAGTATGAAGATTAATGTTTCTTTCTGATTATGGCGTCCTCATGCCAAATGTTGATGTTCCTCTAACACCAAGCTTCCTTATTAATGTTTCAATCTGTGTATTGCCATATGATTATTGTGAGTGAATCTGAGCTAAAAAGGTGCTTTGATTTGCTGGTATCATTAAAAAAAAGCTCTTTATAATTTTGTGCCATTTGCTTTGTTGTCTTATAAACCCTAATCATAGCAATAGGCAAATCCAATTCTTTAAACCAAACAAAGACACACAAAAAAATAAGTGAAACAATTGTTGCTATAGCTTAAAGGGGTAAAGTTCACTCATGAGGTTTTAATTTATTTTTTTAAGTGGAATGGAGACATTTTAACACCATCTTTGTCATCAGAGTCAAATTTTGTTTTTGTCTTTTTGTATTGACGCTATTTTTATAGCCAATCATTGGTGTTTTGCATTGTCATTTTGCAAGATGATTTGTTTGCATTTTTTAAACTGAATCCATTTGGAAGTCAGTTTTATGTTCTGGTAGGCTTTATATTACCCAAAGGGGCCAAATCTGAAGAGCAT